TTATTTGTATTGATGTTGTCATAGCTTTTTAAATAATTCTATATATGAACACCTTATCTGATATAATTTGCAAATCCTTATTTTATGTGAACAAGCATTTTTGCCTACATTTATGTGTACCACATGCACACCTGATACCTGCAGAGGCGAGAAGAGAGCATCAGATTCTCCCAGAACTAGAGTTACAGACAGTTGTGAGCACCATTTATGTGCTGGGAACCCAACTCAAATCCTCTATAAGAGCAGGAAATGTTCTTAACTGCTGAGCCATCTCTATAGCAATAATTAGCAAATCTTTCATCCTATTTTGTAAGTTGCTCTGCCTTTGCTTTTCAAAAACTTTTAAACTTTGGATTATTTTTATTTTATGTGTATGAATGTTTTACCTGTACTTGTAAGTGTACCTTTGCATGAGAGGGTGTCAGATCCCCTGGAACTGGAGTTATGGATGGTTGTTAGCCACTGTGTGAGTGCTGGGAACTGAACTCAGGTCCTCTATAAGAGCAGCCAGTGCTCTTAACCACTGAGCCACCTCTACAGGCCCATTTTCAAAGACTTTTGTTGAGTATATAATCCCAGGAAGTGACTACATCGCCACTAATGCACATTGTTTCTGGTAAGAAAACTGACATCGCCCTTTGCTTCTCAGCAATACAGCATTCATATAGTTTTCCTTCCATTGCTTTTAGGATTTTCTTTCAACTTGGAGTAATTTGATTATAATTTTCCAAGTTCTTCATTTGTATGTTTAGGATTCCTTGAAATTCTTGATCGGCTTACACAAGTTCATTAGGTTCTGAAAGTTTTCGGTCATTTCTTCATACAATTCTCTTAGCTCTTCCTTACTCTCCTCTCCTTCAGGACTCTGATTACAGCATGTGTCACCTATCAATGGGCACATCCTCTTAGAACTCTATCACTAGGCCATTTAAATGGTGAACATCACAGGTGCATTTATGAACATAGAGATGATGCAGGCTCCTCACTTACTACAGTCTTATAACACAGTTAAGAGATGTGGTAAATATGAGACATATAAGGCTCCTGCCAGCTTAATGTACCTACTATTTTACAGTAAACTTTTAAAAGAAGGAATGCTCTCTAAAATAACAGGAACTATAACAGTAAGCCAGATATGGTGGCACAAGCCTTTAATCCCAACACTCAGGAGACAGAGGCAGGCAGATCTCTGAGTTTGAGGCCAGCGAGTTCCAGGTGTGTTAGGGCTATACAGTGAGACCCTGTCTCAGAATAACAATCTAACAAACAAAAGCATAACATTATCTGAGTATGGTGGCATCTGCCTGTAATCTCAGCACTCAGGGAGGCAGAAGCAGGACTGCTGCAGATCCGAAACCAGCCTGGGCTATTAGGAAATCCCAGGTAACCCTCCAGTTGTACACAGCAAAAAAGAAAAAAAAAATTTTTTTTTTTGGTCTTTTTGAGACAGGGTCTCCCTGTAGCCCTAGCTGGCCTGGAGCTCACTATGTAGACCAGGCTGGCCTTGAATTTACAGATTCGCCTGCCTCTGCCTTGAAAGTGCTGGGATTAAAGGCATATGCCACCACGCCCAATGCAAAAAAATCATCTTTAAAAAAAGGAAAAAAGAGCCAGGCGTGATGGCGCATGCCTTTAATCCCAGCACTCAGGAGGCAGAGGCAGGTGTATTTCTGTGAGTTCAAGGACAGCCTGGTCTACATAGTGAGTTCCAGGCCAGCTGGGGCTACAGGGAGACCCTGTCTCAAAAAGACCAAAAAAAAAAAAAAAAAAGGAAAAAGGGGCTGGAGAGATGGCTCAGCGGTTAAGAGCACTGACTGCTCTTGCAGAGGACCTGGGTTCGATTCCCAGTACCCTAAAAACCATCCTTAACTCCAGTTCCAGGGGAATCGGAAGCCTTCTTCTGACCTCCCCGCCCCCCGCAGCATTGCACCACACAGGTGCACTCACATACACACAGGCAATACACTCATACGCATAAAATAAAATATTTTAAAAAATAGCCAGGCGTGGTGGCACACGCCTTTAGTCCCAGTACTTGGGAGGCAGAGGCAGGCGGATTTCTATGAGTTCAAGGCCAGTCTGGTCTACATAGCGAGTTCCAGGCCAGCTGGGGTTACATGGAGACTCTGTCTCAAAAAACAAAAACAAAAAAAATCAAAAAACAAAAAATAAAGGAAAAAAAGGTTTAATAAACAACAGTTGTTTACTAATAAATATGTAGTATATATATTTACAGATGATTTTCCC